CAAGAAATCGACCGTGCGAAATCGCTTTGATGTGTGCACCTGAAAGAGCACCAAAAATAATACCGAAAACATTTTCTTCCGAAGCCCCGGAGGCCCTGGTTTAATTGCTACGATTTTTTGAAACTTTAGGTTTTGATGGTTTACGACTAAAGGGGGGACCACATGGATTTTTTCGGAATTTACCAAAAAAATTTCGAGAAATTCATCACGCACTTTGATGTGGAGCTGAAAGAACACCAAAAATAGTACCGAAAATAGTTTCTTCCGAAGCCCCGGAGGCCCTGGTTTAATTGCTAGGATTTTTTGAATGTTGCAACTAGGCAGCCCCTCGTCGACCAGGCCTTCAAGCCCGATTCCGCAAGAAATCGACCGTGCGAAATCGCTTTGATGTGTGCACCTGAAAGAGCACCAAAAATAATACCGAAAACATTTTCTTCCGAAGCCCCTGAGGCCCTGGTTTAATTGCTACGATTTTTTGAAACTTTTGGTTTTGATGGTTTACGACTAAAGTGGGACCACATGGATTTTTTCAAAAACGGGCCGCGCGCTTCCGATCAATGTAAGCAGACCATTCGAAGCGCTTTGAAACGATGATTCCGGGTTGCTAACTGGCTCGGCCGTCACATCGCTCCTTGGCGCAACAGCAGCTCGAAGACCCCTAACCCTCAATTCAGCCAAATCGGGCGTTTCCGCATTCCGGACGCTATTTCGTAGCGGAATCGCAGGGCGGGCTTCACTGCTTGCTTCGCACCCGCCCCCCACCTGGCCCACTAGTGTGGAGGGGGTTCCCAAAGCTTTCCACTGAGTAGGCCAACGATTGACCCTCAGCTTAGGCTTAGGCTTAGGCTTAGGCTTAGGCTTAGGCTTAGGCTTAGGCTTAGGCTTAGGCTTAGGCTTAGGCTTAGGCTTAGGCTTAGGCTTAGGCTTAGGCTCAGGCTTAGGCTTAGGCTTAGCCCAGGCTTAGGCTTAGGCTTAGGCTTAGGCTTAGGCTTAGGCTTAGGACGAGCCCCCGGACTGGTATGCTTTTTTGGGCCAGCCGGATTTGTTGGGGCATTTTTTCTCGGCGCGTTGCACGGCTAGATACTTGGTTGTTGATTTTTGTTGGATCGGGCTACGAAGTTAGCCGTCCATAGCAGCCCTAGCCTAAGCACTACACCGAGAGATTTCCGGAACGGCGCCGGCTACCTTAGTTAGAATAGGGTGGTGGTCCCCAGGAGGTATCGTCGTTGCTGATGCTCCTCCCTCAACCTTCCCTCCCGTACGTAGAGTAGCTCTAGCATCTACCTGAGCTGCGATCTGCTGAGACCCGGCCTTGAATGCGACCTTTTTTACGACGAATTTCGCAATCATATCGACCCCCGCCCCTCCCCCCCTAGATCAACCAGATATATCTGTGAGCGTATTTTTTGCTACCGAAAACGGTATCTTCCGAGACCCCGGAGGCCCTGGTTTAATTGCTAGGATTTTTTGAATGTTGCAACTAGGCAGCCCTCGTCGACCAGGCCTTCCAAGCCCGATTCCGCAAGAAATCGACCGTGCTAAATCGCTTTGATGTGTGCACCTGAAAGAGCACCAAAAATAGTACCGAAAATAGTTTCTTCCGAAGCCCCGGAGGCCCTGGTTTAATTGCTAGGATTTTTTGAATGTTGCAACTTGGCAGCCCTCGTCGACCAGGCCTTCCAAGCCCGATTCCGCAAGAAATCGACCGTGCTAAATCGCTTTGATGTGTGCACCTGAAAGAGCACCAAAAATAGTACCGAAAACAGTTTCTTCCGAAGCCCCTGAGGCCCTGGTTTAATTGCTACGATTTTTTTAAACTTTTGGTTTTGATAGTTTACGACTAAAGGGGGGACCACATGGATTTTTTCGAAATTTACCAAAAAAATTTCGAGAAATTCATCACGCACTTCGATGTGGAGCTGAAAGAGCACCAAAAATAGTACCGAAAATAGTTTCTTCCGAAGCCCCTGAGGCCCTGGTTGAATTGCTACGATTTTTTGAAACTTTTGGTTTTGATGGTTTACGACTAAAGGGGGGACTACATGGATTTTTTCGAAATTTACCAAAAAAATTTCGAAAATTCATCACGCACTTCGATGTGGAGCTGAAAGAACACCAAAAATAGTACCGAAAATAGTTTCTTCCGAAGCCCCGGAGGCCCTGGTTTAATTGCTAGTTTTTTGAAACTTTTGGTTTTGATGGTTTACGACTAAAGGGGGGACTACATGGATTTTTTCGGAATTTACAAAAAAATTTCGAGAAATTCATCACGCACTTCGATGTGGAGCTGAAAGAGCACCAAAAATAGTACCGAAAATAGTTTCTTCCGAAGCCCCTGAGGCCCTGGTTTAATTGCTACGATTTTTTGAAACTTTAGGTTTTGATGGTTTACGACTAAAGGGGGGACCACATGGATTTTTTCGGAATTTACCAAAAAAATTTCGAGAAATTCATCACGCACTTCGATGTGGAGCTGAAAGAGCACCAAAAATAGTACCGAAAACCGTTTCTTCCGAAGCCCCGGAAGCCCTGGTTTAATGGCTAGAATTTTTTGAATGTTGCAACTAGGCAGCCCTCGTCGACCAGGCCTTCCAAGCCCGATTCCGCAAGAAATCGACCGTGCGAAATCGCTTTGATGTGTGCACCTGAAAGAGCACCAAAAATAATACCGAAAACATTTTCTTCCGAAGCCCCGGAGGCCCTGGTTTAATTGCTACGATTTTTTGAAACTTTAGGTTTTGATGGTTTACGACTAAAGGGGGACCACATGGATTTTTTCGAATTTACCAAAAAATTTCGAGAAATTCATCACGCACTTTGATGTGGAGCTGAAAGAACACCAAAAATAGTACCGAAAATAGTTTCTTCCGAAGCCCCGGAGGCCCTGGTTTAATTGCTAGGATTTTTTGAATGTTGCAACTAGGCAGCCCTCGTCGACCAGGCCTTCCAAGCCCGATTCCGCAAGAAATCGACCGTGCGAAATCGCTTTGATGTGTGCACCTGAAAGAGCACCAAAAATAATACCGAAAACATTTTCTTCCGAAGCCCCGGAGGCCCTGGTTTAATTGCTACGATTTTTTGAAACTTTAGGTTTTGATGGTTTACGACTAAAGGGGGGACCACATGGATTTTTTCGGAATTTACCAAAAAAATTTCGAGAAATTCATCACGCACTTTGATGTGGAGCTGAAAGAGCACCAAAAATAGTACCGAAAACCGTTTTTTTCCGAAGCCCCTGAGGCCCTGGTTTAATTGCTAGGATTTTTTTGAAACTTTTATTTTTGATGGTTTACGAACCTCGTGAACCGATTTAAATCGGTTCGATGCCGGAAACCGGTTCTCGTCCAACGATTTAATCGTTTAGGATATGCAAAGCGATCGATCGGAAACCGGTTGCGCCAAAACCCAACCCTAGCCGCATCCAAATGAGTTTTGAGTACTTCCGGTACGCAAATCAGAGATGTAATGGGTATTTAGCTTGCCAACGAGGAAAATATTTATTCGACTACCTTAATTTTCTCCTTACCATTCCTATTTCGCATGAAATTCACGGATTTTTGGTATGTAAATGAGCCACTTCCGGTTTGCGGCTTGGCCGCAGCGGCTCGGCCGAGCCGCAATGAAAATGCGGCTCGGCCGCGAAGCCGCGTTTCCGGAAGTAACTAATTACGGCGGCTCGTGGGGGCCGCGTTTTTTATGGAAATTAGGCCGCCGGCCGGGCTGCGCGGCTCGGCCGATCGGAATTGCCATGTCTGGAAAAGGCTGTTCTGAACGCGATCTAAACGTCATGCTGGGTCGAACTTAACCAGCCTCTTCTGCCGTAAACGCCCCTTTAAAACCCCTTGACGGATGATGGCCGGAAGCAGGAATATCCACTTCAACTCCAATTATTTCTCGGTTCCCTTGCCCTTGATCGTGAGGCATTCAGCCAACCTTGCTCCTGATATACTATGCTGCTGCGTAAGTTCTTAACTCTATTTGTATTTGCAATTTGAAGGGATCAGGACGGCCCTTAGAGTTTGCTTAAATTTGCATACATCGGCGGGACAAGGCCCCGCTCGATTTCCGATTTGCGCACTCTTTTACCCGTTTCTGAGAGGTTGAATATCTGCCAATTGTTAATATTATAATTGCCAATTCTAGAATAAAAATCCGCTTTATGCTAATACGCCTGGGCCTTCCTGATCCCTTTAAACATTGCCTACAAAGTTGGCTAGGTTTCAGACAAACATGAATCATCGGCGTTGCTTAGGCTAAGACTAAGCCTAGGCTTTGCTTAGGCTTATCCTTAGGCTAAGGCTTAGGCTTAGGCTTGGGCTTAAGCGCAGGCTTAGGCTTAGGCTCCGGCTTAGGCTTTGGCTTGTGCTTAGGTTTAGGCTTGGGCTTAAGCGCAGGCTTAGGCTTAGGCTTAGGCTTAGGCTTAGGCTTAGGCTTAGGTTGGTTGGCTAAGCCTGTTAGCTTAAGTCATGGCTTGGTCATACGCTGCTTATTACGCCTCGCTGACGCGTGGCTTCGGATCGTTGCTCATTTTTGCCCCAAATTCTATTTTTTCCCTGTCATATCCCTCATTTTTGTTGGCTGTGCTATCTGGGTAGAGCCGAGCAGAAGCCGTCAAACGGTGTTCGTGCCATCCGTTTGTCTGTCCGCCCGTTCTTCAATGGGCCCCCGGGGGACCTGGGCCCCGAGGGCGCGAGAAGTATGAAGGGACCCAGAAAATGTCCTGGGGGCACGCCCTCCGATAGATGCCGTGAAGCAGTAGAAGGAGGATGAGGAGGAGGAGCCAGAAAGCCGGGGGCACCCGGCAGCCAAGTGAGAATTGCTAAGCAGATTCGTTCCATTCTTCGGATTTGCAAAGCTCGACCCCGGCTACAATTCGATGAGAGCGACTCTGTCGTGCTATTGAACACAATTAAAATCTGCGCTGAGCGGCGTCGCGAAGAATTCATAATCGCAAGCCGGATCTTCGACGACAAAGCGCACATCCAAGGAGCACCAGCCTCATGCTCTACTGCTCCCCGTTACTTTTGTATCTTTTTGTTACCGTAAGTCGCACACAAGAGGACGTGACCTCCGGCGAGCTGCGACACTGGGGATACCAGAATGCGACAGCATCAGGAGGTATGTCAACCCGGGGGAAACGCCAAAATCCCGACATTCTAAACCTCGACGGCCAAAATCCCTAACGGCCCGAATCCCCAAATTTTAAACCATTTATAGGTAAAACGAACGGTATATCACGTTTTACCTGTCGGGATTTTGTTTAGTTGTCAGATTATGACTATTCCTAAGCTTTTATTTGCTAACAAGGAAACGGATGGGACCCAGCCTGATTGATTCAGCGCTGGATCCGAAGATGGCCGATTCTCGAAAGTTGTAGACGATTTAAACCAATAAAAAGCATCACAAATCACAAATCGGCTTCTTTCGATAGCTTTTCAGATTTAAATCGTCTATAACTTCCCAGAACTGGCCACTCCGTAAAAACGGCGTCCATATTTGGAATCAGCGCAAAATTCTGCGCAAGGTAGGCTGGGTCCCTCCCAAGGTTCCGACTACACCCTAAAACGCCTCCCTGCAAGCCTCAAAAACGCTAGAATTGTTTCCTCGTTTTCCGCATAAACAGCCCGTCTCCGCGGCGCGTGTATTAATCCGAATATGACCTCCCGGTTGTTCCTTTGGGCAACAAGCGCTCCCCTCTCCAAACTTTTTCCGAAAAATTCCCTTTGACTCGACCGGAAACGTCTAGCCGTCCAGAGCACCGAGGCAATTTTAGTTCCTCCTCGAAAAAGGGCCTCCTTTTAAAGCCCAGGTGTTTGCTTTGGCGCTTCCCCGAAAAAAATTATTAAAAAAGGGTAACACCACTCGTTTCAGAAAAATTCGACCCCCATGAAGAGGAGGACGAGCAGAGATTGTTGGAGCATTTGTTTCAGGGGTAGGTTTTGCATTACTTTTTAAAGGTTGTAGGAAAGGTTAAAGTAGCGCCATTGCTTAAGCTTAGGCTTACAAGGAGACGTTTTTTAGTGTGAATGGAGTTTTAAGTTGAAACCAGGCCGATTCTGTGCAGAATTTTGCGCTGATTCCGATACTGTTTTCCAATTTTGCTAAATAGCTCGATTTAAAAAGTTACAGCTATTTTAAGATAATTTTTAGGCCCAGAGTAGCCATATGCTATGCTGTGCTACTCTTTTGTTATAATGTTCTAATTTTTTTAAGTAGCCTATCTTGTAGAAAATTTTTTTCTGATTCGAATGGTATATTTGATTAGTGCGCTACTGCCGATCGACGATGGCTTACAGGGGTGAGAAATAGGCTGTTTTTCACCATTTCCCATACAAAAATCGCAGTCCATACCAAGTATCGTCGATTTTTTCGATTTTCAACAATTTTTTGTTAAATAGCTCATTTGATAGAGAAAATTGTTCTAAATACGGTGGATATTTATTTTTGGAAAAACAGCCGGAAAAAGCAACATAATGGTCCATAAAGAGGGGAAAATTTGGGCTAAAATGATCTTAAAATTGCTGTAACTTTTGAAATCAAGTTATTTAGCAGAAATGGAAAACATATTCGGAATCAGCGCAAAATTCTGCACAGAATAGGCCTTGTTTCCACTCAGAACTCCATTCACACCAAAAAACGTCTCCTTGTTAGGTCAGGCTTAGGCTGAGGATTAGGCTTAGTCTTAGGCTTAGGCTTAAGCCTAGGTTTAGGTCAGGCTTAGGATTAGGCTTAAGCTTCACTTAGCAGAAATTCTTCTGGGAATGGCCAGCACAAGTAGCTACAGCTACAAAAGCTATTTTCCCTTTTAGCTACAACAACCTGATCCGGCCCGTCCCGTCGGCCCTCTCGCCTCCAATTCTGGTGGATTTTGGTGTGGCGATGATTTTGTTGATCAACGTCGACGAGCGGAATCAAATCCTACAGACCAATGTTTGGCTGACGATGAAGTGGAACGACTTCCAGGTAGCCTAATCAAACCGCATCGAGGTGACGCGTGAGTTCAGTTGCGCTGGAATCCGGGTGACTTCGGGAATTTGTCCGAGTTGCACGTGCCCTCCGAACGCGTCTGGCTGCCGGACATTGTGCTGTTTAACAAGTAGGTTTGTGTAGAAAATGCAAATTTCATGCAAAATTTGGTGCAGATTACGTGTCAAAATCTGCGAAACGGCTACAAGAAAAAAGTCACGACGCTTAAAAGGCCGTTTTGCACCCTTTAGCGCGCATAGCCTTCTGTTTTGGTCGTTTTGCAGATTCTGAAAATGAGGCTTTAATCAGCAAAAAATCCTACACAAAATAGGTTTGTTCCCATTACGAAAATCCATGGACTCGCAAAACGTCGCCTTGTAAGCCTAAACCTAAGCTAACCTTGTCCTGCGAACCTTCAAAAGTCCCAGCCAGGCCCAGACCGAAGCCGATGCTGGAAGGCCATGCCTAGGTATAAAACCTGGAATACCGTTTCTTCATCCCTTAAACGGATCAGGAAGGCCTATTAGAGCAGTGCTCATTCGGAACGAGCCAACCGAAGATGCTAGTTGTAAAAATGAGCAGAGAGTAGGGCGAGGCAGGGCGGAGCAGAGAAACTTTATGCTAGTTTTAGAACTAAGCCCGTTTAAGCTAACCTTTCTGGGCCTGCTAGATCCCTTTAAATTCTACCACAGGAGTGAACGAGTCTCACCCGATACGTCAACCCTAGAATCCAATAAAATGTGTACCCCTCCCCCCCCTCCTCTCTCTCTCTCTCTCTCTCTCTCTCTCTCCGGGGTCCCTAGGGCCATCGAGTCGTAGAAGCTGTCAAACTTTCTCAGGATAGGACGCGTCCCGGGAGGGATATATCGAGGTTTGTGTTGAGTGGAGCACAATTTAGTGGCGAATTTTTCGAAAAACTAAAAACAACTAAATTTTCCAAAAAAGAATGTCGAAATTCATCATGACGAAATTTCATAATGTCGAAATTTAAATAAGCTAATTTTTTCGGAAAACCACCAGATCCTATGCAAAAAAACGTGAAAAATTCTGATTTGCAACAATTTCGCAAATAGGAAATTTCGGCGTTTTCAATTTCGACATCATGATTTCCGACATGATGATATCAAATTCGGATTTTGTCGACAAAATCGGCTTTACTAGTTTTTTTGTCGTAAAAATCGTTTTCTGGCACCTCCTATTTGTTTTCCAAGAGAAGCTGCCCAGCTGCGGGCGGGTGTCCATTTGTGGCCCGGCAGAGGTGCCCAAATCCACTTTTCGGTGTGTGGCTTTGCCCGCCAAAAACAGAGATGCCATCTCCCCCCTTGCATTCCCTCATCCCACACTTCCCCTCAGACGCATCGAACAATAGGATTCCCTTCGGCGGAAAGGGGGCGCTGAAAAGATATAGCGATGCCCACGACCCGGCCCGTACGGGGAGGGGGGGCACCGGGTCGCCAAAATTTTTTTTGGGTCGGTGCCAAAATCGCCGAAATCTCGGCTCCCGTACCGACCTGGGTATACTTCACAGCTATGTGGGTCGGTTGGGGGCGGTATCGCAAAAACTATAGCTACCCACACTAAACGGACCCAAAATTCGGATCCAGCACAAAAAACTGGTCTAGAAAAAGCAAAACTCTATTCACGCCCGCCTTGCTGACTCGTGAAGTTCCCGTGGCCACAGGAGACGACTGGTACAGCTTACCTTGCATCACCGGCCTGCCCTATCCCTCGCACGTCACCTCAAGGGTGGGTGGTCTGAGAATCGGACAGAAGAGTTCCCGACCGTGAGAACGGCCGTACCGGAGCGCCTTACACAGCTTACGCCCGCCCGACCGATATATACGCACCCCTACGCATAGGTGGTCGGGACAAGCCAGCTGCTGGTGTGGGACATAGATGAGCGGCGCATCCCTTCCTTTGGGTAGAAGAAAGGACCTGGAATAGTCTCCTGATTCCGGGATGCCGTACCCCTCATCAACCGCTCTCAGGCTTGTCGGTGACTCGGGGAGGACACATGCGCGGGCGAGGATGTGGCCAATCTTTCTTAAATACCCCTCTCCCACGGGGTGGGCCAGGTCGGTGGCGTTTCGGGGACTCGGGGGGGAAGGCATCTGGTACAGGCCCCTAAAATGGCTGTCTTTCGTTCGATTTTTTTGAGAATTTCAACACGGATCCGGAACGTCATCAGCTATCCCTCCTATAAATTTAAAGCCAAAAACTTGAAGCGGAGGGCTGTTAGATCGACTGAACTGCGCAAATGTAAAAATGGCCGCAAAATCCCTTTTCAGCCTACCAATTTCTCTGAAATTATCGATTTTTGTGAAGCAAAGTTTGGAAGGTCGCTCGTAGTCGCAATGCGGTACGAGGGAACACAAATCACACGCCAGCCGTGGCCCTTGTACACAACGGAAAAACGTAATAAAGGGATGGATTTCTATTGAATATTTTTTAAAATGATATTGATATTGATGCGGCGGCGCTGGCCACCCTTTTTGTTTTTGGCTTTTTCGAGAGCTTTCGATAGATCCCAAAACCTGACAATCGGACGCGACTGCGCGGCCCTAGAGGGGGTCTTTCTGGGACCCCCTGTATAGTGCGAAATATCGGCACCGCCTGTTAACTTAACTTGTGTTCCGTTGAATTTTTAATTCACAGCGCCGACGGCACCTACGAGGTCTCCTTCAAGTCGAACGTCTTCATCGAGCACACCGGCGACGTTACCTGGGTGCCACCAGCTCGATATCTCTCCAGTTGTGGCAAGTTTTTGCGTTTGACGTTACCGCAGGCCAAATTGCACGACGATATCTAGTTATATTCTGACCATCTTCAGCGATCGACGTCGAGTGGTTCCCGTTCGACGAGCAAAAATGCGACATGGTCTTTGGCTCGTGGACGTATAACAAGCATGAGGTGCAGCTGAGGTTCTACAATAATGTTACGGTATGTGAGTGAGAGAATGAGAGAGAGAGAGAAAGAGAGAATGAGATAGAGAGACATAGCGAACGAAAGAGCGATTGAGAGCAGGCCTTTCAGGCAGTGCAGCTCAACGACTACTCGAAGTCCGGAATCTGGGATGTCATCGATGTACCAGGAGCGATAGTCAATTCCGGGAGCACGAGTCGGATCGTTTTCAATATTATTATAAGGAGGTTTGACTTTTGTAACTCGTTTTGTGTAGCATCGAGAGAGAGAGAAAAGAGATAGCGCGCGAGAGGAAGAGAGAGCGAGCGAGCGAGCGAGAGAGAGAGTTAGAGGGAGAGAGAAAGAAAGAGAGAGAGAGAGAGAGTGAGAGAGCGCTAGACGACTTTTCATGAAAGCTCTTCGTGGTTCAGGAAAACGCTGTTCTACACGGTCATTCTCATCATCCCCACCGTCCTTATGGCCTTCCTCTCGATGATGGTAATTTGCCACGATTTGGAAACATTTCCATATCTTTCCAGGCATTCTACCTGCCCACCGACTCGGCAGAGAAGATCTCGCTCACCATCAATATTCTGCTCGCCTTGGTTGTGTTCTTGCTGCTGGTGTCAAAAATATTGCCGCCGACTTCAAACATTCCTCTGATGGGCAAATATTTGTTGATGGCGTTCATCTTGAACATCACGACGGTTGTTGTGGGTTTTTTTTGTTGAGCGGCAAAAGAGGCTTGGGCTTAACCGGCTTGGGTTTAAGCTTAGACTTAGGCTTCGGCTTAGGCTAAGACTTAGGCTTAGGCTTAGGCTTAGCCTTAGGCATATTCGTAGGCTTGGGCTTAGGCTTAAGCTTAGGCTTAGGCTTAGGCTTAGGCTTAGGAACTGTTTCAATGTCATTCAGGTGACGGTCATCATTGTGAACATCTACTTCCGGTCTCCGCTTTCCCATGAAATGTCACCGTGGGTTCGAGCGGGTCAGTGCTTACGATTCGTTGCAGGAATTTCGCCATATAAATATGAAGAAAAGAAACTAACACATCTCGGAATTCCAGTATTCCTTGACTTCCTGCCCCGCTTCCTGATGATGAAGCGCCCAGAGCGGATCCCAATCTTCAACGGCTACTTTGTCGAGGAGTATTCTGCTTCTGAAATTTTCGACGCAAGTAGGTTGCTTGTCCGGTAAGGGGTTGGACAGCGGAACCTCGTGAACGCGTTGTGTGCGCGTTGCAGTTGCCAGGCACCCAAATAAGAGTGCGCCCGCAGCCATTCACGTCGTTCGCCAACCAAACCTTTTTTCTAAATTCGGTTTGCAGTGAAGTGCCTGAAATATTGTAGAAACCGTAAGCGACGCCACTTTCTTCAGCAATTTTCCCCGCTGTCTTTTCGATTTCCGCGTCATTGAACATGTGCTGTCAACTGTATTGTCGCGTAGCTTAGAGTCTGGGAACGCCATAGCGGTCTGATTCCAAGATTTTTCCACTATCCCCTGCTATTTTTAAAACGTTTCAATGTGCAACAAATCTGTTTTTAGAGGGATTCGGAAGGGAGGAGTCACTTTTTTGATGATGTGAATTTAAGGATTTGCTATCATCATGTTGAAATTTCGTAATGTACAAATTTCATAATGTCGAAATTCACGATGTCGACATTTTTTAGTGGGATCCGGGGTATTTTCCGAAAAAGTTGGTTGATGTAAATTTCGACATTCTGAACGACATTTTGAACATTTTGAACGTTTTAAAAAAAACCAAATTTGTCTTGAAAATCCCAAAAATTCCGCGATATCTTGCCTACCTTCCGAATCCCTTTAACGAGTCTCCAGGCCTAATCCACGTGTTACAGGCCTCATCATACCGTCCGTCACCGCGACGATCGTACCATTCCTCAATGTGTCAAGTGAGATAAAATTCGTAAAAATGCGATTCTCGGTGTAGATCCAAGCCTTAACGAAGAGGCAATGAAACATCACCGGAACTGCTCGAAGGGCAAGCACCACAAGGAGCACAAGCCGGGCAGCAAGAAATTGAAAAAGGAGGAGTCGAATGGGCTTGAGATGCCCGAGGTTTAATGGTTTCATGTTTAAGTGCTGTTAACCCTAGCTGAAGGAAGAAACGCTGGTGGAGAAGATGAGCCGCGAGATGAAGCGCACCGTTGAGTCGATAGCTTATATCGCGGAACATATGAAGGCGGAGATGGCGGATAAAAAAGTCGGGGCTTTCTCTCTCTCACTCTCTCTCACTATCACTCTCTTTCTCTCTCTCGCGCTCTCTCTTTTGTTCTTTCCTTCTCTTTCTTTCTCTCTCTCTCTCTCTCTCTCTCTCTCTCTCTGTCTCTCTCTCTCTCGCTCTCTCCCTTTTTTTCTTTCGTCTGATCGTTTCCCTTCAGATACGTGATGATTGGAAGTACGTGGCCATGGTCATCGACCGGTTGCTGCTGCTGATATTTTTTGGCGTGACGCTCGGTGGCACGATACAAATCATCCTCCGCGCTCCCCACGTCTTCGAATTCATCGATCAGGATCAGGTCTGAATTGAGCTGGTGCAAATTTTAACCAATATTGTAACGCTCTGCCGCCTTCTCTCTCTCTCTCTCTCTCTCTCTCTCTCTCTCTCTCTCTCTCTCTCTCTCTCTCTCTCTCTCTCTCTGCTCTCTCTCTCTCTCGCTCTCTCTCTCTTTCTTCCTAAGCCAAAGCCTGTCATACTGTACCGTTTCAGATCATCAAAGAGCTGACGGCAAAATACAACTTTGGATCGTAGGCGGAAAACGCGTGCATATTCCACTTCCGGGTCCCCCTTTTCGATCTTTGTCGTTTCAATTGCTAGATAAAGATTTTGACGGTTGCCCAACACAGAATATCGAACACAAAACAAACAATTCCCAATCCCCGCAAAAAATTTTCTTTGTATTCACATGATGCCAAATTTTACACAATTTAGACATTTTTACAAAGATCCTGCTCTTGGGGCTGATCGAAGCGTCGGCAGACGAAGAGCGTTTGCTGGAGAGACTGTTCAACGGCTACAATCAACTGGTGCGCCCGGTTCGGAACCAGAGCGAAATCGTTGAGGTGAGAGGCCACCTATAGGGGCCCAGAATTTTAATAGGTGCGCTTCTCTCTTGCGCTCGTGTTGCTGATCAACGTGGACGAGAAGAACCAAGTGATGCAGACCAATGTGTGGCCGACAATGGTAGGGTGGTTTGGGGGCCGGTTAGGCTTAGGCTTAGGCTCAGGATTAGCCTGAGAGACTTACCATCCATGTTTGCGAACACGTTGTGTCGGCGGTTAGGTTTCCCTGCTTTTCAGCGATGGTCCGACTATCAGCTAAGATGGGATCCGCGGGATTACGGTGGCGTCAGCACGATTCACGTCCCACCGCAGAAGGTCTGGCTTCCCGACATCGTCCTCTTCAACAAGTTCGGACTTCATTGCTGAAAAACAGCCACGTTTTAGCGCGGACGGTAATTACCTCGTCTCCTTCTTATCAAATGTCGTCGTCGAGCACACCGGGGTGCGTTTTTGGAATAGTGGGTTATCAGTTTAGCCTTGATCTGGAGGGCTTAGGCTTAGGCTTAGGCTTTTTAAACTACTTGAACACTTATTTTCAGGAGATGCTCTGGGTGCCGCCGGCCGTCTTTTTCAGTAGCTGCACGATCGACGTAGAGTACTTTCCTTTTGACGGTTAGTTGTCATCGTTAGCTTTGCAAGCAATCCCGGACGTCTAGAGCAGGTCTGCACGATGCTGTTTGGCTCTTGGACCTTCGGCAAGGACGAGGTGCAGCTGAACCATTTGCAGGGAAAGCAACAAGTATGCGTTGTGTTCAACCCTAGCCGAAGCCTAAGCCTAAGCCAAGCCTAAGCCTGTGCCCAAGCCTAAAACTAAGCCTAAGTTTAGCCTAGACCTAACCGCCAGCCCTTTCCAATACCGTTAGGTTGAACTGAATGAGTATTCGACCTCCGGCATCTGGGACCTGATCGACGTTCCTGGGATACTGCAAAACGGGCGAAGCCGGATCTCTTACCAGATAAAAATCCGAAGGTGCGAGTGTCAGCGCATTGCAACTCCATTCCAGAAAAACGCTTTTCTACACGGTAATCCTCATCATGCCCACCGTACTCATGGCCTTTTTATCAATGATGGTAGGGTGATATATCAGGTTGGTAGATAAGTCCTGTCACAAATTTTTTAAATCTCTCTATATAGCCGCAGACATGGCCGATTTTAACGTGTGTTACCTGATTTGATAGGTCTTGGGCTGCTCTATAATGGGAGCTGCCGCACAAGGCCCAAAAGTTACAGGACGCCGAGTTACAGCACCGGGAAGTTTTTCATAAAATCTTGAAAAAGCTTTTTAGCGTGTTATCTCTGCATAGAGAAATTTGCATGCGATACCTTCAACACCAATCGATAGCTCTCGAGGAGTAGATATCGATAAATGTTTAGATCGTCAAAATTGGACACCGGATGGCCGAGATACGGGTCCTTGAAATTTGGTTGATTTCCTAGAACTTTTCCCGAAATCCCATACATTTTACGCAGCTGTGACAAATCTTGCCAGTTGGTTTTTGAGCGCCCGGAGAAGGTTTTGTCTAAATGTATGGGAATTCGGAAAAAGTTCTAAGAAATGGACCAAATCTGAAGGGCCCGTATCTCGGCCATCCGGTGTCCGATTTTGATGATCTCAACATCTATCGATATCTACTCCTCGAGAGCTATCGATTGGCGTTAAAGGTATCGTATTCAAATTGCTCTATGCAGAGATAGCACGCTAAATAGCTTTCTCAAGATTTTATCAAAAACTTCCCGGAGCTGTAACTCGACGGCGACCCACTTTGGGGACCAAATCGGGTTTTGCCCAAGTAGCGCGTCCCAAGATCTATCAAATCATGTATCGAAAGTGAAAATCCGACGTTTCTGCGGCTTTCTAGGCGCTTTCAAAAAAATTGTGACAGGACTTATCTACCAACCTGATACAAGGCTTAATGATCAAGAGAGTTTCAGGTATTCTACCTTCCCGCCGAGGCGAGCGAGAAGATTACGCTTGCGATCAGCATCTTACTGGCCCTTGTCGTGTTTCTGTTGCTTATTTCGAAGGTGATCAGCGAAAGAAGGGGAATGAGAGAGAGACAGCGAGAGAGACAGCGAGAGAGATCTCATCCTTCAGATTCTTCCGCCAACCTCGTCGTCAGTGCCACTAATGGGAAAATATTTGCTGATCACCTTCACGATGAACGTCATCGCCATTATGGTAAAAGCCACTCGAAAATGGAGACCCGATCTAGGTGACGGTCGTCATCATCAACGTCTATTTCCGGGGCCCAGCCACACATACGATGGGCCCATGGGTGCGTCAGTTGTTCATCAACGTAAGTGGAAAAGATGCTTTAAAGGGATCATGAACACCTAGTAGATAAGGCTCATATATAATTGGCAACGAGCTAAACGCAATGCAAAAAATGGGTAGTAAGCGTGGCGAGGCAGGAGGGCGCAGAGAGGAGTTGAGCTAATTTTTAACTTAACCCCGTTTTATGCCAATTTTTCCTGGTCCTTCCTGATCCCTCAAAAGCATGCATAACTGCAGCACCTACCGCTTTTGCTGATGATGAGAAGACCCTGGAGCGCTGAGAATGAGATTGAGCGGTTGAGGCAGCAGAAAACAGAGGTAATTCGAAAGTCGTATCTCGGTAGTCGATGTACTACTTTCGATGAGATCGATGAATCGTCTTCGTTCGCAGATCGAAAGACACGCCCGGGAATCCAATGGAGAGGTCGGTGGTCCGTTTTGCGTTTGGAGCGAAGCGCTTAGATCGCAGCCGCCCCAAACCTGCACCCGGAAGAAGGGCGAAAGTCGAGTGATGAGCAGAGGGCGAGCATCGTTAGCCAGCCATACGCGGTGAGGAGCCAGTCTTTAACAAGAAAAAAATCGGAAATATTTTGGGGAGGTAAGGGCGAAACGCCAAAATTCCGACATTCAAAATCCCGACAGCCATAACCCCGACAACCAAAATGTGTTCTTTTCGGTGTTTTTACCCATGTTTAAGATGCGGGTTTCTTGTCGGGATCATAGCTGGAATGCGACTTTTCGATTTCCGATCAGAATTCTCATAGCCTACAGGCAAAAGATTGGAGCTCCAGCGCGCTTCCGCGCGATTTTGGCAAATCCGGGTGGCCAAGCCCGAGGTCCGATTCGACCACCCGGGAAAAGTCGATACCCTTAGAATTAAGTTTCAGGTTTTCAAATTTTCAAGGTAGATTGGGCAGCTCTTTAGCATGTCAGAACAGGTTTCAGATCGACGATTTGAGTTTCCAGCGCAAAGTTACAGCGTTTTGCAATTTTTGGGCAGCCCCGAAAGACATAAGTCGGCTTAGCGGGCTTAGCTTTTATTAAATCGGCTTATAAGTAGCACCATTCGATTCGGCTCGTCAAGGGCTTTCAAACGAGCTATCAATCATCACATTCGCATCACGGAGCGGCCAAAGCCTAAGCTAAGCCTAAGGGGGCCTCAACTCCAAAACTACCAAAAACACCCCAATGACGGTTCGACCAGTTCCCGCTGTCGTAGCGCCTTCAAATTACTAGGGGTGCTTTTTGAGCCTTCTAGTAGCCTAACTGCAAAAAATTGGAGCTCTAGCGCGCTTCCGCGCGATTTTGGCAAATCCGGGTGGCCAAGCCCGAGGTCCGATTCGACCACCCGGGAAAAGTCGATACCCTTAGAATTAAGTTTCAGGTTTTCAAATTTTCAGGGTAGATTGGGCAGCTCTTTAGCATGTCAGAACAGGTTTCAGATCGACGATTTGAGTTTCCAGCGCAAAGTTACAGCGTTTTGCAATTTTTGGGCAGCCCCGAAAGACATAAGTCGGCTTAGCGGGCTTAGCTTTTATTAAATCGGCTCATAAGTAGCACCATTCGATTCGGCTCGTCAAGGGCTTTCAAACGAGCTATCAATCATCACATTCGCATCACGGAGCGGCCAAAGCCTAAGCTAAGCCTAAGGGGGCCTCAACTCAAAGACTACCAAAAACACCCCAATGACGGTTCGACCAGTTCCCGCTGTCGTAGCGCCTTCAAATTACTAGGGTGCTTTTTTGAGCCTTCTAGTAGCCTAACTGCAAAAAATTGGAGCTCTAGCGCGCTTCCGCGCGATTTTGGCAAATCCGGGTGGCCAAGCCCGAGGTCCGATTCGACCACCCGGGAAAAGTCGATACCCTTAGAATTAAGTTTCAGGTTTTCAAATTTTCAGGGTAGATTGGGCAGCTCTTTAGCATGTCAGAACAGGTTTCAGATCGACGATTTGAGTTTCCAGCGCAAAGTTACAGCGTTTTGCAATTTTTGGGCAGCCCCGAAAGACATAAGTCGGCTTAGCGGGCTTAGCTTTTATTAAATCGGCTCATAAGTAGCACCATTCGATCCGGCTCATCAAGGGCTTTTAAACGAGCTATGAATCATCACATTCGCATCACGGAGCGGCCAAAGCCTAAGCTAAGCCTAAGGGGGCCTCAACTCAAAAACTACCAAAAACACCCCAATGACGGTTCGACCAGTTCCCGCTGTCGTAGCGCCTTCAAATTACTAGGGGTGCTTTTTGAGCCTTCTAGTAGCCTAACTGCAAAAAATTGGAGCTCTAGCGCGCTTCCGCGCGATTTTGGCAAATCCGGGTGGCCAAGCCCGAGGTCCGATTCGACCACCCGGGAAAAGTCGATACCCTTAGAATTAAGTTTCAGGTTTTCAAATTTTCAGGGTAGATTGGGCAGCTCTTTAGCATGTCAGAACAGGTTCCAGATCGACGATCTGAGTTTCCAGCGCAAAGTTACAACGTTTTGCAATTTTTGGGCAGCCCCGAAAGACATCAGTCGGCTTAGCGGGCTTAGCTTTTATTAAATCGGCTTATAAGTAGCACCATTCGATCCGGCTCGTCAAGGGCTTTCAAACGAGCTATCAATCGTCACAGTCGCATCACGGAGCGGCCGAAGCCTAAGCTAAGCCTAAGGGGGCCCCAACTCAAAAACTACCAAAAACACCCCAATGACGGTTCGACCAGTTCCCGCTGTCGTAGCGCCTTCAAATTACTAGGGGTGCTTTTTTGAGCCTTCTAGTAGCCTAGATGCAAAAATTGGAGCTCCAGCGCGCTTCCGCGCGATTTTGGCAATTCCGGGTGGCCAAGCCCGAGGTCCGATTCGACCACCCGGGAAAAGTCGATACCCTTAGAATTAAGTTTCAAGTTTTCAAATTTTCAGGGTAGATTGGGCAGCTCTTTAGCATGTCAGAACAGGTTCCAGATCGACGATCTGAGTTTCCAGCGCAAAGTTACAGCGTTTTGCAATTTTTGGGCAGCCCCGAAAGACATAAGCCGGCTTAGCGGGCTTAGCTTTTAGTAAATCGGCTTATAAGTAGCACCTTTCGATCCGGCTCGTCAAGGGCTTTCAAACGAGCTATCAATCGTCACAGTCGCATCACGGAGCGGCCGAAGCCTAAGCTAAGCCTAAGGGGGGCCCCAACTCAAAAACTACCAAATACACCCCAATGACGGTTCGACCAGTTCCCGCTGTCGTAGCGCCTTCAAATTACGAGGGGTGCTTTTTGATCCTTCTAGTAGCCTAGATGCAAAAAATTGGAGCTCCAGCGCGCTTCCGCGCGATTTTGGCAATTCCGGGTGGCCAAGCCCGAGGTCCGATTCGACCACCCGGGAAAAGTCGATACCCTTAGAATTAAGTTTCAAGTTTTCAAATTTTCAGGGTAGATTGGGCAGCTCTTTAGCATGTCAGAACAGGTTCCAGATCGACGATCTGAGTTTCCAGCGCAAAGTTACAGCGTTTTGCAATTTTTGGGCAGCCCCGAAAGACATAAGCCGGCTTAGCGGGCTTAGCTTTTATTAAATCGGCTTATAAGTAGCACCATTCGATCCGGCTCGTCAAGGGCTTTCAAACGAGCTTTCAATCGTCACAGTCGCATCACGGAGCGGCCGAAGCCTAAGTTAAGCCTAAGCGGGCGCCAACACGGAAACTAGCAAATTCTTTAGTTCACAGACCGGAGATTCTTCCAATTCAGATTTTTCGGGAAATAGAATTTCGGGAATTGGATTTTCGGTAATCAGATTTTCGGGATTCAGATTTTTCAGGATTCCGATTTTCGGAAGTATAAGCAAAGCTCGACTTTTCAGGAGGGTCTCGGATCCGAGGCTATCAAAGCGATCGAGGCCATTGAATACATCACCGAACATTTGAGGACGAACAACGACCAGAAGAGGGTACGTGGCTTAGCCTCAGGTTTAGGCTCGAGCTTAGGCTCAGGCTTAGGCTTAGACCTAGAATAGCTACTTACCGCTGTATTTTCCAACCAACCCTGCCAATAACCCAGATGCGAGAGGAGTGGCGCTTTGTGGCCACCGTACTCGACCGGCTGCTGCTCTACATCTTCTTTGCCGTCACTGGTAAGCCCGGGAACAATCCTTCCAGATTTACCACGAATTTTTAGTGGGAGGCACCGTCGGGATTCTGTGTTCTGCGCCAAACGTTTTCGAGTACGTTGACCAGACCGCCATCCTCGAGAACCTCAAACGAAAAGCGAAGGAGATCGAGATGGCCGCCCAAAATGCCCCATGATGATTGTGATGCGTATTTTGATACGACTGTTATCGGGAAGATCTTCATTAATAAAGAACTTCGAAGGGCGCTCGCTAAAAGAATTCACGAAAATTGACCTTCGGCTGCTTTTCGTTAGCCCTAAGCTTGGGCTCAGGCTCCGGTCTAGGATGATCCTTTCTCTTAGACAGGGGGTCCTCGGTAGGGCCTAGAGGGCCTGCTTCTTGGGAACTTAACAAAATTTCGGAATTCGGAATCTCGAAAATTCGAGCGTCGAGTTTTCAGAACCTCGATTTTTTAGGATCTCCAATTTTCATAATCTCGCATTATCAGAATCTCAGATTTCCATAATCTTGAATTTTCCGAATCTCGAAGTTTGCATAGGCTGGATGCAGGGCGTAGGCGTGTAATTCCTGCAGCCCTGAATTTTGATTCATACTATGGAAAGTTCCTGATTCTGTAAATTCGAGATTCTGATCAGGAAGCGTGTAAGTCATGTAGCTGCGTAAATTCAGGTAGGGCGCATTTTTTTAGGCAAATTCGGTGCTCGCATTCGGCTGGTTCGCGTTCGACATCGAAAAGATCGAGACAGGGGTCCTCGGTGGGGCCTGGAGGGTCTCCTTCCTCCCCTACGATGAGCCGTGATGGGGTGGAAGGACTGTGGGCGCAAGCGAACGAAGCGATGGAAGGGCTCTCGCTCTCTCTATCTGTGTCTCTGTTTGTCTGTCTGTTTGTCCTGTTAAAGACGCGCCTCGTCTCCGGCGCCCCGAGGGCCCGCTCACTCGTTGTGCCTCCCCCCTGTAAGGCAATCAGCCCCATACACGCTCCCGCCCCATTTATGCGCGCACACCTGTTTGCGTCGTGAATTCTATCCTTTACATTCTCCGGATCATCGTCGTCACCATTTTCGGGGAAGAGATCTTCCCCGTTTTTGTGCTAGCGAGAGTCTTCGCCTAAGAAACTTTTGCTGTCCTGCGGTTTCTTAAAGAATCTCTCTCTGCTAGGCATTTCAGCCAAAATTCCGACATTCATCATCCCGACTGCCAAAATCCCGACAGGCCAAAATCCCGACAGGCAAAAATGTGATATTTCCGGTTGTTTTACTCATAAATGGCTTTAAAATCTGTAAGTTGTCGGGATTTACCCGGTCGGCATTATGGCTGTCGGCATTATGGCTGTCGAAATTTTGGGCCTTTCCCCATCCGCTATCTTCCTCTATCCGCCAGCATCCGCTGGCATGTTCCCGGCTAAAACATCTCTGCTAGCCTGCCCCTCGGTTCTGGTTCGTTAGCGGGGCGGCATCTTATGTCTTGAGCTTCTCTTCGCCTAAATTGCATTATTTTGAGCTTTAGATGAAACTCTTCGTTGTTTTTGTTGTTCTATTCCATAGCGTTAACAGAGTATCGACAAATATGGAAAATCCGGAAAATAGCTGCCCACCCCATTTTCAGGGTGATTTTTGCTATTGTTATAACTGGTGTCTGTTTTAAATTATAGTGTTTTTATCTAAAACTAAAACTCTGCGTATATTTTTTGATGATCTACCAGGCCGCGACGATTTTTCCTGGGCCTTCCTGATCCCTTTAAGGCGCGCGTGGCACTAAGCCTTTGAACGTTTCATCCAGCGAGTTGTGAGCCATCCAAAAACCATACACTCATCGACCCACCGGGATTTCGTTCGATTGATCGAGAAAACGGCTCTGCGAATCCGCGCGAGCCTTGGGCGCCCCCGCGCGGACAGTGGAGGGGGGGGATCGGGTCTGGTCTCTCATTAGCCTCGCCTATCAGGTTTTCGTCTGCTCCGCCGCGCGCGCATCCCCTGCGGCAACGCGTCAAGAAAACATAAAGAAAGCTCCGATCCACGCATAGCCATTCGATTGCGTTTAGGCTTAGGTTTAGGTTTAGGCTTAGGCTTAGGCTTAGGCTTAGGGCTTGGGCTGGGGCTTAGGTTTAGGCTTAGGCTTGGGCTTAGGCTTAGGGCTTGGGCCTAGGCTTAGGCTTGGGCTTAGGCTTAGGTGTCTCTAGTGGGGAATAATACATACCGCTAACCATCCCCTTTATTGTGATACTACTGGAACACGGTGACGAAAGTTGCATGCAACGATAGTTTTTTGTATTAAACTCTATCAACCTCTCTATTTCCACGTCGAAATGATATGTATAAACATTCGCATAAGACTGATCGCCCACACTTGCGCCGCTTTTACTCGATTTAAATGCACAGAAATGCGACTCTCGATACCCGACTTCTACTCACTTTCCCAGCTGCTGTCCTTTGTTTTTCTGCCCGCCCTCATTGACACACTTTTCTGTCGCGCGCACCCCTGCTCTCCGCCTCGGCTTTCCGGGCCTGATTTGCTCCAAACGTGTTTTTTTTTTAATTTCTTGGTGTTTCCATTCGGAAATTTCCGAACTTTTGATAGGTTCTTTTCTGCACCTTTACAGTCAAACTGTTTATATCCTATTTATTTCCCGAATTTTCGCAGCGCCATTGGCTAGAGCCTCAAAACTATCCTAAGGGTTGTCATCCTCCTTAAAATGATCTACTCTAAATAAATTATGGCGAAACCAGGCTACCGTTTACTTTATCGGTTACGGTTTTGACTATAACTTTTTTATTTTACATTATTTTGCGCTCAAATTAACACGCTCAGTATATTTTTCGACGCTCTATGGAACGGCGTTGAGAATATCCCCCAAAAACTCGTGCAAATACGAAAACTTTGAAAGGCATCGGTTGCGCTTACCCAAAACCAGAATTATCCCCGGAAGCCGGTTAAAGACCCATTTGATAATTTTCGCTATGGTTTGGAGGAGCTTCCGGATGGCGAGGTGGTGGTGGTTAAAGTAATGTCCAACTTGCCTTTTTATCAGACCACAATTGATTGACAAAGTGGATATACTACTGGACGTTATTATCTGTCTGTAGATGCTTGCGGTAAGACGGGCAATAGATAGTGGTTTTTGGCTGCGGGGCAAGATGACCCCCATTCGGGCATCCGATCCCTTCCCTTCCATTCCATTGATCCCCCCTTCACCACAGTCACCACACTCACTTCCCCGGTTTATCCGTTGACACGACACACACACAAAACGGACGGTCTTATACCTCGTCCCGGATGTTGCCGTTCCGGTCTTTTGGCGCATTTTTGACATTTTGAAGCGGAAGCATGCTATGGCGTCAAGGTTCTTTTGCATTTCCGGGGGGGTGGGGACCAACTTTTCTCCTAGGCCCTCATTTTTCTACTATAAGTAGTGGCAGTGTTTCTAGGCGGTTGTTGATAATAGCTAAACGCGAAAACTTTACGAACTTTTATAAAACACGTCAAAATCGATTTTTCGGCGAAAAAGCCGATTTTGACCGAAATTTCGACTTAAAACGTTTATTGAATTTTTAGATTGCTTTTCCGGGGTAAGGATAGTTAGATATTCTAAAAACACGGTTCGAACACTGTTTATGAACTTACTAAGCATTTCTAGATTTATAAAAAAAGTTCGGTACCCGGTACAGTTAGGGAATGAGCTGAAAAGCCGCACAACATAGGCTTGGTCCCGTACGTACGCTTAGGCTAAGGCTTAAGCTTAGGCCTAAGTTTACGTAAAGAAACACCTAAAACACTATCCCAATCCGCCACTTAAAGATATAACTTTGTGAAACGCTGCGCGGAAGCCGTGATCCTGTACTTTGCCGAGACGGCCGCCGTGGATCCGAGACGAGCCGGGAGCGCGAATCAGGGGGAGGCGAGATGACGGGACCGGTTCCTCTAATAATTTGCCTTCTCCCCCTGCCATCTCTTAATCCACATTGTCACAACACCCGACACCTCACTCCCCCCGGATTTCATCAATTACCCAAATTGCTCGTGAAAGGCTCTGGAATTTTTTGATGGCTGATTTTTTGTACATTTCATTTCATCATTTCATTTCAATCACTGCTAGAAATATGGATTTGGCTTAGCGAGTCCTTGAGAATTTCGATAAGAGGCTTAACGCCTAGAGGGCATCCTAATAAAAGACACCCCCTCTAACTCCGGTAGAAGTTGGGATCGCAACGATAGTTACACCATTCGAAAGCCCTTGAAACGGCGAGCTTGCAACAATTCTCAAAACCATGTTTTTATTCAAACCTACCTTTTTGAAAGCCATTTTGTAAAATTTTGCGGTTCGGGGTGGCAAACAAAAAAACTGTACTTATGTTTAGGACCTTAGAAAGCCAAAGACTTGCGAAGAGATCCTGTTCCCCTTAAGAAACTTAGAAAGCAAATCGCCTACCAGTGACATAATTCTAAAATTGTTATCCCAGACTATCGAACATATTAGCTGAGAGCACCCCTGCAGATTAGATGAATCGATAGACGGCCAGGCGGTAACCTAGAGTCGGCCCCTGATCCCAGGCGATAGAAGGAAGAGAGGGGCCTTCAGGCGGCCTTGAGCCCCTCGAGAAAGTCCTAAACCTGTCTGCTACACTTGCTATGGCATTCCTGGTCGGCCAGTCTTATTTCTTATTCATCGAAATACTTGCGTATGATTTAAGGTATCGGCCTGCCCTAGGCCTGGGCTTTTTCAAGGTCTTCGATTTTTTCATCGACGTTCTATCGCTTTCAACAAAATTGGCACGTTTCCCCCTTCTTTCAATACAAAATTCTCGCTGTATTTTGGGGAAAGGAGTGCCAAAAACCATTGTTAAACCCAAATGATCGGATCTGCGCACCGGAGCGCCCCATTTGACACCCATCCGTCATTCAACTTTTTGTATTGTTTAGCCGTTCTTGCCCAAACAAGCATCATTTCGTGGGCGTAACCTTCCAAGGTCAGCGTCTTTTCATTCGATAACAAATTCGTTATCTCATATCGCTATGAATTGCTGATTTTTTTTGTGCAAGCCTGGACCCTTTGGTGAAATTTGGGGCCTGACAAGGAGACATTTTTAACGTCCATGGAGTGTCGAAATGGGATGGAGTAAGACTATTTTATGTAGAATTTTTCGCTAACGAAGACTTCGTTTTCCGAATTTCCGA